CAGCAGCAGCAGCAACAGCAGCTTCAGATGGCCCAAATCCGAGATGGGCATAGCCCGCTGGGCATGACCATCGTCCGTTTGATGCAGCACGTTTTGGACTCCGCCAGTTTTAGAATCCTGAGAATGAGACCGACGACTGGAATTCCGAGTCTGTCCAGTCAGCCAGAGTGGAGTAGAAACCAGTCTGGTAAGTTCTGTTGTCGTACTGTCGTACAGAAGCCATTGGCGAATATCAGTCCGGCGGTCGCTCCGTGGGGAAACGTATGAGCTTTGTGTCGGTTACTTTGCCAGCCAAAACAGATTAGGTTGATCCAGTGTTGGGCATGTGAAAAGAGTCTAGAACTGGCTTGTGGCGAGGGGGTAGAGTGATGCCGCGAATCATCCGCATGTGCTTGTGCTACAATTGCAGCCGTGTCCGATAACAGCATGCATCATGAAGTGCAAGATCTGCGCTCGCTTGGATTCGCAGCGTCATCCAAAAGTAGGCTTCAAATCCGCGGAACCTCGCATACATGATCAGTTCGACAGGACCATACTCTGGGAGCGCACAAGGCAGGGGAAGACACTGCACCAGCGTGAGCAGTAGCTTGACATGTGATGTTTTCTCCCAGAACATACTGCCGCGTGTCAGTATAATATTAATATTAATATATATATATATATATACATATATATATATATTGCACCGTCTGCAATTTCGCGTCATCGGCGGCATCTTGACATGTGAAGCCCGCTGCGAAGCAACCTTTAAAAGCAGCTGCGAAGTATGGGGATAGGACCATATGGCTTCTTTGAGCATGCCTCGGCAAAGGTGGCATGGCGTCGGGAGGTGCACCCATGCACTCTTGTCCTAGGCTTGCACAGGTGGCGTATAGTTTCGGGGGGCTGCACTTGCTGCAGTTCCTGCAGTTCCACAGAAGCATTGAGCTGTGCAGGTTTAACTCTGCTCTTGGGAGTCAGAGCCGGGCACAAGGTTCTCATAGGATGAGTATCGGCATAATCCCCACCATGCACCGTCATGGTATTTCGAGACATACGGAAGAGTGCTGCATGGCACACATTCAATGAAGCAGAGCACTTGGTTGACACTGCGGATCTTACTGCACCCGCCCAGAGCTCCAGACCTGAATGGGGGTTCCACGGAACCCACAAGCACAAAAACCCTTGAGGACCCCCACACACACTTAGGTCATCTTAAGTATTCAGTGGGGTACGCGATGAGAGACCGGAGACCACAGCTGGGGCTCGTCTTTGCCATCGCAACGACGATTGACCAGCTCAGGAGGCAGTGCACTCGCATCGCAGGCGGCGGGGGCTTCCGGCGGCAGCCAGCTTTCGGATGCCGAGCTCCTGCCAAGGTCATGTGGGGAAGACGGCACCGTACATCTCGAACCAGGGTTGTCTATCGCACCGAAGCTGCAGATCAAATCATCGACAGGAACTGCAAGATACTCCAGGGCTCGCGTGATGCCACCATACTGATCTTCATCAGTATCTGATTCACCTGACAGATGCTGCAATGGTCTGTGGCCCCCTCACTGTCATGATGCCACACGGCAGTGAGGCTTTGAGAACTACAGCCATGGTGTCTCTGAGATTTGCAGCCATGAGGAGCCTGGGAGACCCAATCGTGCAGTCGCCAGAACTTGAGAAGAGCGTTTTTCGCAACATCCGGTGTTAATATTCTCTTGGAGTGTACAACCTTAAGCGTGGGGCGGCCGCAAGAGCAAACACGGGTGTCATCAACGGCACTGTCGCCACCCTCCTGATTCACAGCTCTTCTGGGTATTACAGAAGACGCGCGTTTCATGCTGGATTAGGCATACCCTTCATAGCCACGGCATAGTTCGCTTCGAAGACTGTACTTCGAGCTGGAGGGGGAGGTGTGCTGTGTTCGAGAGGTGACCTGACGTTGACCGGCAGTGCGACGTACATTATCCGACAGTTCCGGCACCAGCTGTGAGCCGCGGTGGCTCGGGCGGGGCTATCTCCAGCAACGCAGACATCTACATCATCAGTAGCCGAGTCGTTTTCCAAGCGTGTTGATCTGAGACGGGCGATGGCAACGCCATGTTCGCGGCCAGGGGCAAAGTCATAAGCAGCCCAGACAGTCCCGAACAGAGATGGTTTCTGTACTGTTTCTGTGCAGGTGCCTTCAAGTCGCACCGAGTTCAAACTGACCTCGCATTGAGACTCCTCCGCAGCGAGATCAAATCGAGTCCGGCTCGTGGGCCTGATCGAACTGTACCCAAACTCGAAGGGCATGGCTGTTTGCATGTGATAGCGGCGAAGGTGATAGAGGCAGTTCTACCACACTGCCCCGAAACTCCAGACCCCGCAGAAGAGAAGCACAAAAGCGCGTGTAGGAGTTGTAACTTTGAATAATGTTGCTTCTGCCAGCTTCTGCCGGGGACGGCTGGCATGGAGAGCCTGCCGCGGCCTCGTTTTATTTCTCATGAGCCTAGCAGGGCTTCCTGATTTGATTGACATCTTTGGAACCAAGTTGCCAGCAGATGCCGCGTCTTAGGATTGCCCTACCGTAGGATGAGCGACCCACAGTTCACAAGAAGGGCCGAAACAAATTCCAGCAGTGGCAGCCGTAGCCTTCCGAAAGCCAAGCGACTCTGTTCAGCTACCAGCAGCTCGCAGTGTTTGTCGTGCTAAGGGAGCCCGCTGGAAAGCCGGTGCTCCTCCGCAAAAGCGGCGAGGGGCGAAGCACTCAGCAGGGTTTCCCTGATGAGCTTGCCATGTTTACGAGGTTACTGGTGCCTGTTTATAAAGTCGTATGGTTGGTT